GCATTCGGTGAATCATCCGCGGATGTCGGACATTGATCAAAGCTGGTGGGGCTGAAGAAACCTTCAAAGCAGCTGGGACCTCCCCCACGTACTGTCATAAGTCTGACACTCAGCTCGCTGGTGAAATCAAAGGAGAGATTGAGAGGCGGAGGCATGGTGAAGGCTGGGCGGGGGGGATGGTCCACTGGAGTCGTGCTGCTGCTGGTTGTCCCAGATGCAGCTTTACCAGGCAGCATGTTGAAGCTGTTAACATCGGCCTGGTTGAAGTCTGAACCTCTCGGACTGTTGGTGAAGAAGTTGAAATCATCCACCAAGGAAACAGAGGCTGTTGCTGCTGCTTGAGCGAGCTTCGCATCTGTCACTGTGTCACAGCCGCACGTCAACTGATCCGTCAGAGCCACGTCACTCTCGCCTGAAGCAACTCGAATGAACGGATGCTGCAGCAGATCCTCAGCAGACGACCGTCCGTCAGGATCGCGATCCAGGCATTTCAGTAAGAAATCCCGTCCCTCAGCAGAAATCTTCGACGGGAATTCAGGAACCTCGACGGAGCAACCAATCTTGTACAGAACCGACATGAACGACTTTGGAGATTGGCGATTCTGCGTGACGGATTCCTTGGAAACCCATGGCGGACGTCCCGTGAGCATCTCGATAACGGTGCATCCCAGCGACCAGACGTCAGAAGAGGGAGTCGCGCCCTTCTCCGCGACCACCTCCGGCGCCATCCAGCAGATCGTCCCCTTCATCTGCTTCCGCTCCGCCTTTCCCGCCAGTTTCGCCTTCCCCGCAACGTTTGCACACCTGGGGGCTTCCCGATTTTCGTTAACATCGAGCGACTGAAGCGAATCCCGCGGAGAAGCTCCCGACGAATCCCGCGACGAGCCAGGCGAGTCGAGCAGGAACGATGCGCCGAAATCGCAGAGCTTCACGCCAGACTTGAACAGCAGCACGTTCTGGCCCTTCACGTCGCAGTGCACAATTCCACGAGCGTGCAAATCCCGAAGCCCTTCCGTGATTCCCCGGGTGAACCTCCGCACCAGAATCTCATCCAAGCCGTCGCCTTTGTTGAACTTCTTCAGCAAATCGGCCAGAGAGCCGCCTGATGCGAGCTCAAGGAGGATATTTCTTGATTTGACGCCGTTTTCTTCGGACCAATCTGCGCCGTAGCATTCGATCACCCGCGGCGAGCTCACTTTCTGCAGGATCTGCCGCTCGTTCTCCAGTGCCTGCAGCTCCCGGGACTGCTGACGGTCGCTGTCACCGCTAGCCGTCACCGACTTCACGGCCATCAGGTGGCCGGTTGTGCCGTCAATCGCGAGGCTGACGCTTCCAAAGGCTCCGCAGCCGAGAAGGGGACCGCGAAGCCATGACCCCGGGGATGACGGCGAGGAAGGTGGAGAGACGTATGGGAGGGTGGATGGAGATAAGCAATCCTCCTCCTCTGAAATGTACACCTTGAAGGAATCCATGGCTTTTCGCACTTCAAACCAGAACTCAAGCTTTACAAAAGGTGAATCAGAAGTTAGTATCTTGAAGGCTCCTCAATCGTCACTGGCCAGAGGCACAGAAGGGGTTGGAGATCCTTGAAGAAAGGAAGACCCGGACGAGACATCAAATAGTAAAGACTTTCTTGAGAGTGAGCCGCGGGCTGCGCGATAAGCGAACGGAGAACCTCAAGGTAGCCTTTCCAACAAATCTTCGGAGTCGGTCTTGGTATTCCCGAAAAGAGACGCGCTAGCTGAGCTAAGAGGAAAAATCCAGCACTTGGAGATTCTAGAACCTTCTATTGGCCTGCTTTCTAAAAAAATCAGTGATCTTGGATTGGGCCGCGGCCTGCGGATATATGCGGTGGATACGGAATCTACGACGTGGCTCAAGGAGATTGGTCTGGATGTCGTCCTTATTCCTCTGCCAGCTAGATCAAGGGCACAGTGATAATAGCACCTGGTGTGCTGGCTCTCCAACGCATAGAAAAATATGATATTTGGATCTAGACCCATTGTTAATCGGACCAAGGAGCGCCGTTTCAGGACACGGTCGCCGCTGTCGCTTGGTGCACACGATTTCGCTCCTTTTGTCGAGAGCAGGATCTTCTCTAATTTGGTCGAAGAGGCTCGCTTTCTCCTGGGGCCCACTGGCTGGCGCAATGACCAGTGGCGTAATGCGTAAGGAAAGAAAACGTTCGGACAATAATGCGGCTAGCAATCATAAGCGATGGTCGCGAGATTGGGGCGGTTTCTAGGTGTTATTACATCGAAAGGAAAGTCAGCGCCAGTTACAGGATTGCGGTTAGCAATCATAAGTGAATGGTCGCGGGATACGGGCGGCTTCTATGTGATATTACATTAAAGGGATCTTCCAGCGCCTGTCAAAAAGCTTGGGGGCAACGGCTGAGTGCTCCAAAGGGTGTCTATCTGTACATGAGTCCTGATGACAGCTGACGTGGAGAATAGATGATGACAGCTGTCCAGCCTGGAAATCTAGCGAAGTGAAAATGGATAGCCTGACGGAGAGCTCTATGGTGCTCAGTTTCCAGCCTCTGCTGTGCTGACGGAGGGCCTTGAGTGTTCCGTAAGCCATCCGGGGATGCACCTTCGACGGGAATTTCACTGAATGCAAAGCTTAGGCGAACGATGACCTGAGAGACACTGAAAGATGGATGTATGTCGAGACTCGACTGCAGGAGACCTCATGTGTTGGAATAAAAGGACGGGTAAGTTAACATCCAAGGTGCACGCCTACGCATATCCGGTTCACTACTAGGACGGTCTGGTTTGCACTACACACCCCGCTGGCACTGCCATCCTAACGGGCAAATGCGCGACTTGGCGTTTAGTTTCTTTGCCATGAGGAGAATCTGTGATCGGTTTCAGATGCCTACAGCCACACCCAGAGGGTACAACTTGGATTTTGAGTTGTAAATACGAGCCGCGGTCACTGCATGTACGAGATTTCAGCAAGTACATCCACTTCCAGCTGTGTGAAGTGAAGCACTTCAATGAGTCATTCCCTTCAAGAGTATACTCGTTGAATCCGTTAGTATTCTACATTTCGTCCTTGAATGTGTAGTGTAAATGAATACTAAATATGTAGACATAACAGGTTCCTGGAACGAGCCAACATGCGTCGAGACTCGCGTAGGTAACTGCAACGAATGCTTTTGCGAAAATGTTAGCCACATTCACACCTTCCTTATTTTCCCGCCAAGGCGGAGAAGCCGTTGAGGTTGAATCGATGCCCTTGCAAAAAGGATCGCGAATCGCGACACACCCTTGGAACCGCTCGTCGAAACACGTTTCTGATTGGTCGATATATGTCATTTGGACCCCCTCTCCCAACCAGCTGTTACTTGTCACGCATCACAGGCACAAACAATACCCGTTTCGAAATGTATCGAGTCGAGACGCGGCGAATTCTGGGTTGAGCTGAAATGTGCGATGGAACCCCATCGAGATTTCCAAGCAGGCCGCAACACTTTCACAGCTGCCATCGGCCAGGTGTGTGAAATGGTTCCCGCCATTTCCTTCAATTCCTGTAAGGTCACCCATTTCTCATGCCTCGCTTTGTTAATAATGGAAAGTTGATGTTTCGTACCTTGAGAATCTAGTTGAGGACTCGAACGAGGCTGGTAAATGCTTTGCAGACTAAAGCTTGAAAGACGGAAAATAGCCTGACAGAGTAGTATCACATCCCATGAGCAAACATGACTCTCACTCTCATCGAAACCTGGTCGTTGGCTCCGCCCACTTTATTTCCTTTCTCTTGGCCTTCCATCGTCCCCTGCTGCGGGGGCTCAACCGAACTGCGTGGTGACGAATCCGAATCTGGAGTCACAGCGTGCCTTGATTTCCTCGAAGCAGCTCATTCATACAACGAAGCCAACTCCCCGATCCTTGTAGACGCGGTGCGACCTTTGATGGCGCCCGTTTTTGGAAAACAGGCATGTTCAGGCGTAATTTCGCCCGTCTTGATCGCGAGAGCAGCAGCAGCAGCAGCATCGCTGGAAGGGGAGCCTCGCGCAAAGAGCCCTCGGCTGAGGAAGCTGCGATGGCGGGATGAGCTTGGCTTGGCGCTCACATCAGTGCGAGAGTACGACCCAATGTACAGTTCACACTCCAGTCAGCTAGATCCTAAGAATTCGGCGCTCCCATCATTGTGAATGTCGGACTAAACTCAGCGAGCTAGGCTTCTTCTTTTCGAGGATTCTGATGAGTCTTGAAATATCCCACCGCGGAAACATTCCTACGTCACACGACTTCATTTTCTAATCGCATGTTTGTATTTCAACGTTGTCTGCCCCTTTCTCCCTGCAGTGACGGGAAATGCGACATGGACGAATCACACGAATGCAGCTATGTGGATGCCTGCACCATGCAATGATGCTACAGGGAGTTTGGTTCTGTTCTGCTAGGTGACGTAGGTACTTAGGTACTAACAAATTAACATCGAGCAAATAAACACGCTGGGCTGGTCTTTGACCCCGTGCGGTGGGTTTAACGTCCGGCATTGTCGGCTCTTTCGTACTTCCAGCCTATTACCACGCCACGGTTCGGCGAATAGTCAAGTGGTTAGGATCCTTGCAGACTACCCGTATATAGCCATCATTTTATAATGCCAGCACGATAGTGAACTCGACGTGACTCGAGCTGGAGCTTGTGCAGCTGGAGCTTTAGCCATGCCAAAACGAATTGAGAAAACCGTACTTCCAAGAGTGTTGTGGTTTCCAGCTCAATTTGACACTGCTTTACAACCTTTCTGGAACTATTCCTGGCTTCGGGTCATCTGGTGTTAGCTACTGTAGCATATAATCAAAGTTCATGCCAATGAGTTGGCTTGATACCTACACCTTTGAGATCAGATCAGACTGGTGCTCCTCCTCACTCAGCTTGTGCACACGCTTCATCTAGGGAACATTCCCATTTGACATGATTAGCAACATAACACGCATCCAAACTCAGGGCAGCTGCTTCTAAAGACTTGACACCATTGAGACAAACCTAAATCTCGCCGCAGTCAGCAATGACCACAGGCCTGCTGACTTTACCCTGGTGGAAGAACATAAGAGAAGAGCATGCGAAGGAACGAGGGCAGGAACAGAGGAACACAGCTCAAGAGCATTGGTTGCGAAGACACAGCTCTCGAAGGGCACATTGGCGAGAATTTAGAGCACATGAAAGTGGGGACATATGCGAGTGCATGAGAGAGAAAGTGTATGAGAAATGAGAAAGAGGGTGGAGAGAAGTCTCACCGACTCGGAGCCAACTTCCTCAATCGCCCTCACTACATCCATGCCATTCGAGACCTGCCCGAACACCACGTGCTTGCCGTCCAGCCAGCTCGTCTTCGCAGTGCACAGGAAGAACTGCGGGAATCAAAATATGATTGAATCTTGAGGCACAAAAACAGCACTTATATGAGCGACAATAAGCAGGCTCAAGGAGGAATGTGTCAGCGGGAAGGCATGAGCAGGTACTGTACCTGAGATCCGTTAGTGTTTGGCCCGGAATTAGCCATAGAGAGCACACCAGCGCCAGTGTGCTTCTTGGTAAAATTCTCATCGGCGAACTTGGTTCCGTAAATGCTCTCACCACCAGTTCCGTTGCCGCGGGTGAAGTCTCCACCCTGGAATTAAATCGAAAAATTCCGGAACACACTGATAAGACTGGGGACGACATATGTGGACTGAAGGAGGCAATGCGCAAATATTGTTGGAATAAAAAACCCTGAAGGCATGCAGTGTGCATACCTGGCACATGAACCCGGGAATTACACGGTGGAAAGCCGACCCCTTGAAGGAAAGGGGCTTACCGGAATTGCCCGTACCCTTCTCCCCTGTAACACGAAATACCAATACATGCTTGGTATGTTGACGGGCTTCGAAATTTGAAGAAAAATGGTAACGTAACTCTAAAGAAAGACCTACCAGTGCAGAGACAACGGAAATTCTCCGCAGTTTTGGGTGTGGTGTCAGCAAAGAGCTGCATATCAATTTCCGAAATTCGTCGTTAAGGACGAACATTAGTCACATGGCGACAAGCACGCACATGGTAGCGGGTGCTTAACAAAATGGACATGGCAGTGACGATAATTATGGTCACATAGTAGCTGTGCGCTACGGCAAAGGTGCTTACTTCCATCTCGATGCGGCCAGCATCTCTGCCGCCGATGGTAATATCGAAGAACACATGGGGATTGGCCATGGTTGATGCGAACTTGCGATCTGCAAGGGCTGACAAAGTAGGACACCAGAAAATGGTAAGAGCGAGTCAGATCTAGCTATATGTGGAAAATGTCGCCAGGAAAAATCTCGTGTGTTGTGATCACTGGAAGTGAAGTCGTCGCAGCATAGGACTTGCTGCTCCTGCAGTAATTGAGAGAATGAGGGCGGAAATTTTTCGTTTCGTGTCTGTGCTATACCTATCCCGACCAGTCTAAATATTGATTTGACCGTTGTAAAACGTGAAGCATCTCATTGAGCCGCATTTGTTTGTATGACCCACCCCTGACAAGAGCGCCCCGTTCTGAAGGCAATGGCATCAGGAATCTGGATAGGAGAGGGATTGTCACGAATTTGCCGCGCCGGAAGTCCTTCCCAGCCCGTTTTCCGACTTTCATCAGTTCCTTACGAAGGAGTGTCCGCGTCAGATGTTTTTCATAGGAAATATGTTATGAATGGTTCAATCAAATGTGGTGTTGTCTTAAAACGAAGACGTACTGATATTAGATTGTACAGCGCCAGGATATTCTCTTGTTGAATCTCCTCCCTCGTGGCTCTCGTGCTGCTGACATAAGCTTCTTCATTTAGCGTGACGTGGTTGGCTTTCGTTGGTCAGCTTGAAATGATTATCAAGTCTGCTGACACGCTCAGGGGCACTTGCCAGCGCATCCAGTGTCCCTTCCCCTCCCACCACCACTGTTTTTGGGGATGAGGGCCGCTATTAGGGAGTATTTCGTGATAAGTTGAAGGCCAGACTGCCAGACCGAGTTTCAGACGGTTCTTACGAGTACCACACGTTCCCCCTGCCAGAGTCTTCGACAGCTGCTCACTTGAAACGGACCCGCGTGGAACTTTTGGAAGTTGTCAAACGAACGAAATGCGCTCCACCTTCTCAATTCCCAGCCTCTCAGGAACATACTGTATGTGGCGGAAAGACTTCTTTCTCTTCCCACATGAGTCACCTTCACTCCTACGCTCATTGATTCGGAACAGACAGAATTGTGCCTGCCACATTCTAGTAAATCCATTTCTGGATTAGGTTTCAGGGATTGGTTCAAGTCAGGTGCTATCCCTGCCTATTTTCGAGTGTTTCTCTGCGTTTTCTCGAGTGTTTCTTCTGTCTCATCTTCCGTGTTTTTTTGGGGATATAGGTTTGCTGCGGATATAAGAGCTGTTGGTTGTTGAAGCGACTTGCAAGCCGGACGCTATAGTTGCGAATTTGAAGTAGGGACACCTTCGATCCGAGCACTTCCATCCATTTCGACCATCACGTTATCGGAGATCCGTCTTGAAATCACCGCCTCGTCTTTAGGCCGTCGCGTGGATCGTTTTCCAGCCGAGCAACGGTTACATTCTCACAAGATTCCCTATTGCTAGTTTTCTCGCCAGCGCGTGTCGGCACTCTGCGGCTGTGCGCGGACGCTGGCGCTGCTGCCTATCAATATACCCATCCACTAATTTCATTAGCCATGGGTGTTCCTCTCCAACCCGTCTCCCTTCCGACGGCTAAAGCTCTTGGATCTACGCAGAGTACTGTCAAATCGTTGTTCTTAGCAGACCGATGCGCAACAACAGCAACAACAGCAGCAGCATCGTGTCAGAGTAACCGTCCGTTGACTCGTACCGGCCATGCGCAGGCGTCGCTCCGATGTCCGTCGTTACGTTTGAAACAGAGTGGTTTCGATTCATGTCGTCTTCGCCAACCGTCGTTTGACTCCGTCGCACGCGTCGCTTCCGTCTCCCACGGCACCCGGCGAAGCCCAAACCGTCGCAGTGCAGCCGTCGGCGCTTTCCTCCAACATCATCAAGCCTCCTCCGGCATCTCCCCTCCGCCGTCCGTCAACAACTCGCCGTCAACGTCCATCCACAGCAGCAGCACTGACCCTTCAGCCGTCGCCAACGACTACCATTCGCTCAACACTAACCATGCGACTTCCGCAAACACCAACACCAACTCCAATCCTGCAACCTTCGCTTCTGTCGGACAAATATCGTCCTCGTCGAACCGCCACGTTGAACCCGTGTCGCATGGCGGTTATCCGTCTGCCACGTCAGCATCGCGACCAACTGCGTCGCAACACATGGCGTCGATCTCAGCGGCTCCGCCAATCAGAATGGGGGCAGAAGGAGCACCGATCGACTTTCCTGTGCTCTGCCTCGGGTTCGTGGCATGCTCGGTAAGTACGAGGCTGAAAGGAAGGCTCGGAGTGTAGGCTCGGGATGTATAGGTTTGGTTTAGTGTGTGCGGGCTTGTTTTGCGCACGCTCTTGATCACAGACCCGATATGCAATAATTGAATAACGAAGAAATGTTACAGATTGTGTTACAGAATGTAGGGGAACACTAGCTCCTGCTCATGGCAGTGCACACGTGGTCCATTCAAAATGCCCACCTCATTCCCGTTTTCCGCCGTAAATCCCCCACGCCTCAGAACCAGAACCCGTCCGTCATTCTCCCCCCTCCCCCCCCCCCCCGGTACCGCGGTTCCATGCAGATAACAGCAGCGCTCTCTGTCATGCTCGTTGCCGCTGTGCCAGCTCTTCTGGTGAGTACATACCAAGAACGGCATGGGTACATACTGAGACTGCAGCACCCATTCGCACATAGTGTGTTAGGGTTCACTCCTGTAAGAGTCGGCAATAGGATTGGTTCTTCCTACCATGTGATTTCTCCCTTCCAACGCCCCGCCTGTTCCCCCATCCCCTCTTAATTGGTTTTCCCTGGGCCATCCGCAAGGCAGCACAGTCGTTGGAGCGGCTGGCGGAGGTGGGAAGGGTGGAGGTGCCAGGGACTTGTGTGCGCTTTTGTCGGTATCTTGTTCAGAATCTCCCCTCTCTCCCTTTCTTCCTCCTGCACCCCCTCCACCCCCCGCCCCACCCTTCCACCTCCCTCTCTCCCACCCCCCCCCGGCCCCGTCCCCCCTCTCTCCCGTGGGGTCCCACAGGCCATCCGCAAGGCAGTACATGCATTAGAGCGGCTAGCAGAGGTGGCAAGGGAGGAGGCGCCAGGTGCCTGTGGGTGCTTTGCCAGTTCTTATTTAAGGCTGCCTCTTCTTCTCCCCCTCGCCGCCCTTCCCTCTCATCGTGGCCCACAGGCCATCCGCAAGGCAGCACAGGCATTAGAGCGGCTAGCAGAGGTGGCAAGGGAGGAGGTGCCAGGGACGATGGCGGCTGTGCGGCTGTCAGGCATGGAGATGAGCGACCTGAGCATGGAACTGAGTGACCTCAGGTGAGCGCATGGACAGGGGGCAGGTAGAGGAAGGTAGAGGGAAGTACCAGTTTGGAGGAGGCGGCGGCAGCTAGAGGGACGATGGCGGCTGTGCGGCTGTCATTCATGGAGATGAGCGACCTGAGCATGGAACTGAGTGACCTCAGGTGAGCGCATGGGCAGGGGGCAGGTAGAGGAAGGTAGAGGGAAGTACCAGTTTGGAGGAGGCGGCGGCAGCTAGAGGGACGATGGCGGCTGTGCGGCTGTCATTCATGGAGATGAGCGACCTGAGCATGGAACTGAGTGACCTCAGGTGAGCGCATGGGCAGGGGGCAGGTAGAGGAAGGTAGAGGGAAGTACCAGTTTGGAGGAGGCGGCGGCAGCTAGAGGGACGATGGCGGCTGTGCGGCTGTCATTCATGGAGATGAGCGACCTGAGCATGGAACTGAGTGACCTCAGGTGAGCGCATGGGCAGGGGGCAGGTAGAGGAAGGTAGAGGGAAGTACCAGTTTGGAGGAGGCGGCGGCAGCTAGAGGGACGATGGCGGCTGTGCGGCTGTCATTCATGGAGATGAGCGACCTGAGCATGGAACTGAGTGACCTCAGGTGAGCGCATGGGCAGGGGGCAGGTAGAGGAAGGTAGAGGGAAGTACCAGTTTGGAGGAGGCGGCGGCAGCTAGAGGGACGATGGCGGCTGTGCGGCTGTCATTCATGGAGATGAGCGACCTGAGCATGGAACTGAGTGACCTCAGGTGAGCGCATGGGCAGGGGGCAGGTAGAGGAAGGTAGAGGGAAGTACCAGTTTGGAGGAGGCGGCGGCAGCTAGAGGGACGATGGCGGCTGTGCGGCTGTCATTCATGGAGATGAGCGACCTGAGCATGGAACTGAGTGACCTCAGGTGAGCGCATGGGCAGGGGGCAGGTAGAGGAAGGTAGAGGGAAGTACCAGTTTGGAGGAGGCGGCGGCAGCTAGAGGGACGATGGCGGCTGTGCGGCTGTCATTCATGGAGATGAGCGACCTGAGCATGGAACTGAGTGACCTCAGGTGAGTGCATGGGCAGGGGGCAGGTAGAGGGAGGAGGTGAGCGTTAGAGGGAGAAAGTGCCAGGTAGAAGGAGGGGTGCAAGGTATATGGTAGAGGCATGGAGATGAGCGACCTCAGGTTAGCGCATGGCCATGGAAGGTAGAGGGAGGAGGTGACAATTAGAAGGAGGAGGTGCAAGGGATTATGAGCGACCCGAGCATTGGATTGAGTGACCTCAGGTGAACTCAGGGGATCTAGGATGCTCTCAGGTGAGTCTGTAGCAATTCAGTGCTTTCAGGTGGCCTCTGCTCTGTCCAGATGGACTGTAATGTGCATAAGCATTCTCTCATATTCACTAAATACATGAAGTTATTCTTAGGAACCTCTATACACTTTGTGGGTAACTAAACGACCTTTGTCATTCCTCTGAATGCAGTCAGGAGATATCGCAAGGGATCAGGAGTTCCGCTCGTGCGGTGCGACTTGCGGAGGATGGGTTGCGAAGAGTTGGCAGTCTGGCAGCTTCACGCACAGCTGGTAAGAGCTACCTGAGGTGTTTAGAGTAATTTTGAAAGTTGATGGAGGCAAGATGTCGCCGTTTCAGTCATTTCCTAGCATGAATATGAAAAATAACATTTCTTGCTTTTTTCTCAACCGGTTCATGGGGGCATCCAGTTTTGCCTCATTTCCTCTGCTTTTCCCTCCATGTTTGCCATGGCAGCGATGATAGAGGAAAGAGCAGTGGTGTCTGTTCCCTCGGTCACTCCAGTAATTGCTTCCGCAGCTAGGAGCACAAAGAATGCAATTAGGGGGGCGAGGGAAGTGGTCTCACAAGTTTCCCTCATTAGTCACTTGTCCAACTTCCTTCCTTGGGCTGACAACCATCCAAACCGTCATTAGTATTTTGTTCTGGAACTTCAACCCTGTTTAGTGAATATTTAGTACACAACTCAATATAGACAAATTAATATATATATTTTGTACCTTGACAACACTGTCTTGTCACTGACTCCAGCTTTCCATAATGCGGTTCTTCAAACTCCAGGAAAGTCCACGTCATCGCGATAAGGTGGGGCTGACGGTACACTGGGGTTGCATGAATGTTGCAAGATCAATCCATCTGCTTTCTTTGTCGCCAACATTCATGTGGCGGAGAGACGTGGCGCCACATTTAGTTCCAAAAGCACACGTCAGATGGGGGATGTTACAAGCCAGATTCATTACCGGACTGGACGTTGCATCAATCCTTGGACTTCAGTTTCGAGAAACACGGGCCATTGAAAATCCTGGTCAGCAGAAGATCTTCCTTCCTATTCGACAAGCTGATTCGCGAATGAAGCAGGTCCACAAGATGGTGGCTTTTTTGTCCCACGCGTGCAAAGTTGTGTGGAAGGAACAAAGGGAAAGCATGATTCGACTTCAAGGGCGGCGGCAGGGCCTTGATGAATGCTTTCATTCATCTGCCTACGTGGACGCCTATTATTATGGATATTGCCAGATCAGTTTCGAACAGCGATTGGGCGCAGCCTCGAATTTACCACTTGAACTGGATCAGATTTTGAAACCGGACGGAGCACGAATCGAAAGGGGGTCACTTGCGGGACCACTGACGATTATGTTGCTTGATCGTTGGTCGGCCCGATCGCAGCGCCTGCCACGCGTGCCTTGGGAACAGAGCTGGCGTGGCGCTCACCCAGGCATTGACGGCCGCACTACACACGCAGAATGAGCAGACGTGGCGAGACGCATCGAGATTTTCTCCCTCAAAGACAGGCGGGAAGATGATTGCGTCATCCCCCTTGGAGTTGCTTTTGCGCTGTCATTGACACAGTCATCCCATCTTCACCTTGCTTCACGTCACACCCGTGCTTCGTGTGTGTGTGGGCTTACCCTTTCTGAATGTAGCACCAGTCAATAGTGAAACCTTGATCACCAGCTGATCGCCTCCTCGTTACTCATTTCTGCATACCGTTTTAGAGCTTCTACTTTTTGGCACACGGGTCCTCCTTTCTCTCTCAAGCATCGTTCATCCTTGCGGCAAGTGAGCCTGATTCCCCTTCGCCCACAGCAATCTTCTGCTTTGTGCGACGTCTGCTACCGTTACGAGTATATCCTCGTACGACACAGCTAGTTTCATGACTGAGGTTGACACTGCCTTATCTCGCGGTTTTCTGCCTGAGAACGAAAGTAAGAAGCTTGATTACATGTGGAGCCCAGCTAACCACACCCAGACAACTTACATCCATCCCATTTCACCACTTCTCGATAAAATGGACGCACTTGCTAAGAAGAGCGTTAAAAGCAGCCCCGTTTCGCCGTTCCAGTTCTTTCCCACCACGCCTCAGTGTCCCTCACTTTCGCCTTCATCCTCACCAGAGTCTTCTCACGTTACCGCGCTCTCATACAAGGATGATCCCTCTCCGCCAATCGGCTTGAGCCTCAGCCCGCCTTGCGCCACGTCAGCCCAAAGCGAAGAGGACGATCACATTTCTCCCTCCGCTGAATCGGCAAAAGTCTCAGCTGACGTGTCTTCACACTGGAAGCTTCCTCACCCCAAGACACTCAAGCCGCAGCCATCTCCCGCTCCTGTAGCCGTCCCCACGGCAACAGAAACGAAGGCAGCTCCTTCCGTCGCGACCCCTTTTGCTCACTTCCCCGCGCCAGCAGCAGCACCTGTCCCTTTCGGCCACATTCCTCCCTATCCAGCGGCAGCTGCGGCCGGCTGGTGGGCTCCTTTCGCCGCCTTCCCTTCTCACATGCTGCTTGCACACACATCCGCGGCAGGACAAGCGCAGCAGCAGGCGATGGGGATGCAGCAGAGGCCTTGGGTTCCCAATGCGCCGCCGTGGTTCTGCTTTGGTCCCCCGCCCTTCCTTTCCCCGGCACGTCCTGCCCTACTGGCCCCTGGGGCTACCAGTTCGGATGTCAACGTGGAAATTAATAAGAGCCTAATGGCTGTCAGTAAGCCTTCCCTCTCTGGCGGTGGTGCTTGCAATCGCGCGGTTTCCTCTGTGGCGATGAAAGCTTCTGTCAAGCGAAGCCCGTCGGCGAAATTGGCGGCGAAGCCAGTTGAGGTGTTACCACGTGAGCGTCTCCCGTCGGGATTTCGACCGTGGAAGGCTGCGAGCAGGAGCTGCGGGTCGAACGACACGTCAGCTCTGCTCTCGTCCAATGGCGCCACGACAACGTGCTCTGCTGCTGTGGAAGCATGCGCTTCATCCCGCCGGGCCGTCCCATTCGCGTTGAAGCCGTGCAACCAGGGCGCGGAGGGTCTTCAAATAGTCAAGGCGGACGGACAGCCAATTCGGCCAGCAGCGCAGCAACCAAGGGACCAGGCGGGCCCGGTCAACGGAGTCAATACAGTCAACGCAGCCACCGCAATTAACGCAGTTGGTCCGATGAGCCATTTTTCGACTCCCCTTCACATCCTCCCAGCTATCACCCCTATCCCCAGCTTCCAGTCTGCTGCTGTCGATCAAGCCAGAGCGTATGCCTGCACCATGGGCCAGTACCCCAATCTCCCCTGGACCGCCGCCGCTGCTGGTGCTGGTGCTGGCGGTGCTGCTGGCGCTTCTGCTGCTGCAATGTTCAGCTTTCTTAACCCTGGGGGAACGGTTGCTGCAGAGGCTGGTGCAGGAGTGGTGGGGGACAAGAGGAGGCTGGGGAGGGCAGAGGGCACAGCGGCTGGGAGCGTGGATGTCCAGGGGAAGAGGAAGAAGAGGCAAAAGCAAGGTGGAGTGGGTTGCAATGCGGTGGAGGGCCCAGTGTCTCTCAGAATGGATGGCAAGAGCGGAGCGATGGAGGGAGAGGGTGGCTGTAGCAAGGAGCGGGAGGAGGAGGGTGGAAAGGAGAATGGAACGGAAATGGAGAAAGAGAAGGAGAAAGAGAAGGCGTGCAGGAATTGTGGGACCCACACTACTCCGTTCTGGAGGAAGGACCGGTCAGGGAGTGGGCAGCACCTGTGCAACGCGTGTGGACTCTACCTCGCCAAGAATGACGCCCCGCGGCCCTCCGTGCTCTGGAAGAAAGGTGAGCGCTGCTGTCTGCTGGGTTTTTTCCATGTGATTTGCCGTGTGTTTTCCATGATTGCTTGCCATAAGCAAGTTGCGGAAATGAACCAGTGGAGAGAGCTTACTAAATGGGACCTCCCAAACACCATTCACTACCTGTCACTGTAACAAGGTAGCTGCGTTGTAATTTCGAAATCAAGGTCCTGATTGGAGAAATTGGAGATGAAAGGAGCCCCTTCTCATTTTCCTCCCTTTCTTTCTTGTGTTCTGCTTATGTATTTGAACAGATTCCCAAGGGGCTCCAGACAACACCAGCCATGCCAAGGCTTGAGAAACAGTCTTCAGCGCTTCCAGCTGGTACAGGATTTCATTGCAAATAAATCTGCTGAAGGCTCCTGCCCTGTGACTGCAACGTGGTAGGTAGCCATACCATTTCAAGTTAATGTCAACTTACACTACAGCATATCTCTCGTATACTACACCACAGCTTATTCTAGAGTCTAGTCTAGATGCAGCCCCGCATTTCTAGATGGGATAGGAGGGCCGTGCTGGCCATGAAGTGGCACTGTAGATTACTTGTAATAAAAAGCCGTTCTGGTTCAAATGTACAAACTATAAGAAAATGCAACCAGGGATATATATAGATTTCCTATATTTTCCTGAATCCTCAGTTGCCTGCTGGAAGGCTTATACCGTGCTATCTGCCTAATGCAAAACACAATCAAGTGCATCTATCGTAAAATTAGACGTAGTCAACTAGTGGCAGGTATAATAACATTAGCGATGTACTCTACAGTCGAAAGAGTTGACCATTTGTGCAGTTGGTGGAACCAGCACCCAACCGAACCCAACCAACCAAGCCCTAGGGCCTCTTTTCTTGCACAAATGTCGGAACAGCAATCCCAATGGGCTTGGTGGGTGTTAGTTGACCTTCATTTCACACCACCACTTGGTATTACACCGACCCAGAAACCCTGTACACACAGCACGACGGCTGACATTGCTAACTAATTAGTCATATCAGGCCGGGACACAAGAATAATCACTAATTAGTCCAGCCTGGAAAAGGTTTCTACGCGGCACTTCCACATCACGATCAGCTTGACGACGGCCGTACTGCTAGACCCGTTACTGCTGTGGACCTTCAGGAAGTTGCCGCTGTGGTGTCATTCTCAGCTAAGAATGGGAATGGTGTCCGTGCTGCTTCCGTTCAATTCGACCAATTGAAGCCTTTCTATTTCGTCTCGTGTAAAGTTGGTTGCTTTGGTGTGGTTTTCGGGACGAGCTGTCAGTGTTGGTCCGTGGTTCGGAAACTAACAGAATGGGTGGAGTCGAGTCCGTGCTGGTTCCGTCGGATTCTGACGACGATGACGACCGGCAAGAGCGGCGGGAAAGGCGCCGGAGAGAGAAGTATTTTCGCGAAATGCAGAGGCAACAGCAGCTGCTACTGCAGCAGCAGCAGTACGGGCAGCAGCAGCAGCCGTACGATCAGCAGCAATTCCAGCAGCAGCAATACCAACAGCAGCAATTTCTCCAGCAGCAGTATGGAAACGAGGCGTATTTACGACACGGAATGGAAGCATACGGGGGTGTAGAAGGCGTGCCGGCTGAATTAAGAGAACATTTCGGCGGTCAGTGGGATCCTCGCGAAATCGGAGCTGAGTATAACGAGTACACCCTCGACCAACCACCAGGGAGCTCGTTTCCGGAAGAAAACAACGGAGGAATTTCAGGCGCGATAGAAGCTGCTCCGTTTGTAACTGGAGAGACTACACATTTCCCTGAAACATATGGGGAATACGGAGCAGGGGTTCCGGCTTGGTCTGGCATTGTTGATAGATGGGACCCAACCGGGGCAGATGCAGGCACGGTTCGGGCTGAGCACGTTCGTGCCGAACCTCAACATCTAGGTTCGGACGGAGGCCAGGAGGAGCTACCCGTGTCGATGGGCCCAGGCTCCTCCAGCCCTTCTATTGGTGCAGCTAACATGCGGAGTAATATAATCGGTGCTGACGTGGCCATGCCAATTCGAGCATCCACGTCAGCAGGTCCCATGGTGGGGGATGGGAAGCGAGAGTTTGAGATGGTCAGAGGAGGTGGGGAGGAGGGAAGAGAGGGGGGAGAGGCGGAGGTGATGGTGCAAGGTAGAGAAGGGGTAGGATGGGGTGGATTGGGGGATGCAGGGGTTCTGGGAGGTACGGGGGGTATGGGGGGAGTGGAGTACGGTCCTGCTGCTATTCTTTCCCCGTCTACGATAGCTGCTGTTGCTGCTGCTAACGCCATTGCGAATGCCCCCCCATCTCCTCCTACTAGGACCCGTGGAGAGGGGGAGGGGAGTGGTGCAGGAGGGGTGGGAGGGGTTGGGGGATGGGACGGGCGAGGAGGAGGTAGCAGGAAGGAAGGAGAAGGCGAGGGAAGGAGAGAAATAGAGGAGAGGAGTGGTGGAGCGGAGGTAAGAGGGGTGGAGTCAGGTGGGATTGGGGTGAATATTGTAACCAACACACCTGGTAGCAGCAGCAGCAGCAGCGCCGGCAGCAGCGGTGGTGGCACTGGTAGTAAGATTATAAGAATAGCTGAACCAGATAAGGGAGGGAGCACAGATAATGGGTCTGATGGTTCGGTTGGAATGAAGGATAGAAATGAGGTCAAGGAAAGTGATACGAAGGCGAATAGTGATGGTGATGGAGGGGAGGAGAGCCGAAGTTCAGAGGGGCTAGACGAATCTGATACTACCGAGGATGAAGGGCAGGGGAGGGGGAAGGGGGAGAAGAGGGAGGAGGAGAACAGAGCGAGTGGATCCGACGGTTCAGAAAGCATGAGATTGGAAAAGCCCCCTGGAAAAACTGGGGCGGATAGTGGAGTTGCTTGTGAAGCGGACAGGATGGACGGTGGAAAAGAGGAAGGCAAAAAGGATGGGGAGAGAGAGGTGGCGATGGGGGAGAAAGCGCGTGCTGAGAGCATGGATGCAAATGCATCTGCGGCTAATGGTGGTGCTATTGGTGGTGGTGATGATGCGGAAAGCAGTGCTGCTAGTAGTGGTGTCACTGTTGGTAACACTAACGGTGACACTGGTGGTACTAGCAGTGGTGTTGGCGGTGGTGTTGGTGGTGGTGTTGGCAGTGGAGGGGAGGTGAGGGAGGAAAGGAAGGAGCCGAAGCAAGTGGATGAAAGCGTGGGAATGAGTAGATCAGTGGAAAGAAACGATAAGAAAGAGGCAGGAAATAGCGGATATGAGGATGGGAGAGAGGAGAACGAGCAGGATAACGACAAGGGGAGGGAGGGGGGAGAAGGGGAGGCAGCAAAGAGGATAGTGAAAGAGGAAGAAAAAGAGAATGAGGATGAGGAGGAGGAGGAAGAGTATGGGTCAGGAGACTCAGGATTCGGTACCCCTGGCACACTCTCCCCTACCGGCAGCAGTGTCAGCACCTACGAGCTTTCAGCCATGGATTTCCCCGACTCAGACAGCTTCGGCAGCCGAACCTCCACCTCAGCTCCGGCAGCCGGAGCAAGGCCTGGAAGACCAGGAAGTTTGGGCCGAGGCAGGGGTGCAGGTACGGGGATCCTCACTGGTGTTACCATGGCTCCAGGCCCGAGATTAGGCTTGGGAGGAAGGCCTGTAGCCTGGGCTGGGGGTCCAGGTCCGGGTGCCCCTTTGACTCGACCGTTCCAGCCTTCTTTTGGTTCGGCTGCCGAACCTGTTGCTGCTGGCAACCTGACTTCCTCTGCTGGTGCTGCTGCTGGCGCTAGTAGTGTTGGTGCTGCTAGTTTGGGTGGTAGCACTGCTGCTAGTGCTGCTGCTGGTGGTGCTGGCAGCACTACTGCCACTGCTGGTGATGCAAGTGGCAATAGTGCTCCTGCTCCTGCTGCTGCTGCTGCTGCTGCTGCTGCTGCTGCTCCTGGTGCTGCTGCTGTTGCTGCTGGTGCTGCTGGTGCTGGGTCAAGCGAGGAAGGTGCGGGTCTAGGGTTAGGGTTCAGTATTCTGGCAGGGCTAGGCGCGTCTCTCTCCTCTGTTGCACGAGAGGCCACTGCCGCCGCCACTGCAGCAGCTGCTGCCGCCTCTGCCGCTGCTGCATCCGCCACTGGTGCGTCTGACAACACTCCAGAGGAAGAAAACACATACGCTGTGCTTGAGCTAAGCGAGGAAGATTCAGAGGAAGATTCCGAGGAGGAGGATGATGACGAGAGTGAGAGAGGAGAGGAGGAGAGGAGGAGGAGGGAGCAGGGGTTGAGGGAGCAGCGAGCATCACAGGTGGCTGCGATTATGGCTAAGATGGCCCGGGCTGATAGTGTGGGTAGCACCGGCAGCGCCGGTGGCAGGTTGGGTGGGGGTGGGGGGAGTGCAGGAGGCATAGGAGGCATGGGAGGGATAGGAGGAGGGGTAGGAGGAGGAGCCATGGGGCTGGAAAGTGGACTAAGCGCATTGGTAAGGCACAGCTCTGCCTCTGCGGCTGCTCCTGCCGTTTCTGCTGCTGCCGCCTCTGCAGCTGCCGCCGCAGCTGCTGCTGCTGCTGCTTCTCCTGCTGTCAACAGTCCACGCTACTCCCTTCCGCCTGCCAGTCCCCATCAGTTCCGCCCCGCTGCTGCAAACGCTGCGGCCAATGCTGCAGTTAACGCTACAGCCAATGCTGCGGCTAATTCTGCACTTAATGCTGCTTCCAATAGCCCTGCCCTTAGGTCCTTCCACAGGAGGGGCGGCACTGGCTCCTTTGGAAGCGGGGGCAGCGGCGGCGGCAGCGGTGCTACTGGCATTTTTGGTGGTCCTGGCTGGACGAGCGTCGGGGCGAGTGTTGGGGTTGGTGGTGGGGCGGTCAGTGAGGTTGGTGGTGGGGCGGTCAGTGGGGTTGGTGGTGGGGCGGTCAGTGGGGTTGGTGTTGTGGTGAGTGGTGCAGTGAGTGGTGGCACTGTTGCTACCAGTGGCAGTGGTAGCAGAGGCGGGTCCGGTGCTGTGTCCCCTGGAGGACTGGGTATGAGGGATCCAGTGGCAATAGCAGGGGGCGGTGGGAGTGTGGGGGCAGGGGCAGGTGCAGGCGTATGGGCAGGGATGGCGGCAGGGGTAGGGGCAGGAGTTGGGATGGGAGGCTGGGTGGGGAATGCAGGGGGAGGAGGAGCGATGGCATGGGGTGGTGGGGCAGGTTCAGTGCAACAGCAGCAGTACCCGTGGTGGGTGGTGGCTCCTCCCGATGCCCAGTGCCGTGCTGAGGAGATCCGTGTTGAGTTCTATGTTGTGCGGTGAGTGGGGTGGGTGGGGTGGTGTTTGTTAAAAAGATGGGAGGGATGGGAGGGATAGCATTGGCGGTGGTGGGTGGTGGCTCCTCCCGATGCCCAGTGCCGTGCTGAGGAGATCCGTGTTGAGTTCTATGTTGTGCGGTGAGTGGGGTGGGTGGGGTGGTGTTTGTTAAAAAGATGGGAGGGATGGGAGGGATAGCATTGGCGGTGGTGGGTGGTGGCTCCTCCCGATGCCCAGTGCCGTGCTGAGGAGATCCGTGTTGAGTTCTATGTTGTGCGGTGAGTGGGGTGGGTGGGGTGGTGTTTGTTAAAAAGATGGGAGGGATGGGAGGGATAGCATTGGCGGTGGTGGGTGGTGGCTCCTCCCGATGCCCAGTGCCGTGCTGAGGAGATCCGTGTTGAGTTTTATGTCGTGCGGTGAGTGGGGTGGGTGGGGTGGTGTTTGTTAAAAAGATGGGAGGGATGGGAGGGATAGCATTGGCGGTGGTGGGTGGTGGCTCCTCCCGATGCCCAGTGCCGTGCTGAGGAGATCCGTGTTGAGTTCTATGTTGTGCGGTGAGTGGGGTGGGTGGGGTGGTGTTTGTTAAAAAGATGGGAGGGATGGGAGGGATAGCATTGGCGGTGGTGGGTGGTGGCTCCTCCCGATGCCCAGTGCCGTGCTGAGGAGATCCGTGTTGAGTTCTATGTTGTGCGGTGAGTGGGGTGGGTGGGGTGGTGTTTGTTAAAAAGATGGGAGGGATGGGAGGGATAGCATTGGCGGTGGTGGGTGGTGGCTCCTCCCGATGCCCAGTGCCGTGCTGAGGAGATCCGTGTTGAGTTCTATGTTGTGCGGTGAGTGGGGTGGGTGGGGTGGTGTTTGTTAAAAAGATGGGAGGGATGGGAGGGATAGCATTGGCGGTGGTGGGTGGTGGCTCCTCCCGATGCCCAGTGCCGTGCTGAGGAGATCCGTGTTGAGTTCTATGTTGTGCGGTGAGTGGGGTGGGTGGGGTGGTGTTTGTTAAAAAGATGGGAGGGATGGGAGGGATAGCATTGGCGGTGGTGGGTGGTGGCTCCTCCCGATGCCCAGTGCCGTGCTGAGGAGATCCGTGTTGAGTTTTATGTCGTGCGGTGAGTGGGGTGGGTGGGGTGGTGTTTGTTAAAAAGATGGGAGGGATGGGAGGGATAGCATTGGCGGTGGTGGGTGGTGGCTCCTCCCGATGCCCAGTGCCGTGCTGAGGAGATCCGTGTTGAGTTCTATGTTGTGCGGTGAGTGGGGTGGGTGGGGTGGTGTTTGTTAAAAAGATGGGAGGGATGGGAGGGATAGCATTGGCGGTGGTGGGTGGTGGCTCCTCCCGATGCCCAGTGCCGTGCTGAGGAGATCCGTGTTGAGTTCTATGTTGTGCGGTGAGTGGGGTGGGTGGGGTGGTGTTTGTTAAAAAGATGGGAGGGATGGGAGGGATAGCATTGGCGGTGGTGGGTGGTGGCTCCTCCCGATGCCCAGTGCCGTGCTGAGGAGATCCGTGTTGAGTTCTATGTTGTGCGGTGAGTGGGGTGGGTGGGGTGGTGTTTGTTAAAAAGATGGGAGGGATGGGAGGGATAGCATTGGCGGTGGTGGGTGGTGGCTCCTCCCGATGCCCAGTGCCGTGCTGAGGAGATCCGTGTTGAGTTCTATGTTGTGCGGTGAGTGGGGTGGGTGGGGTGGTGTTTGTTAAAAAGATGGGAGGGATGGGAGGGATAGCATTGGCGGTGGTGGGTGGTGGCTCCTCCCGATGCCCAGTGCCGTGCTGAGGAGATCCGTGTTGAGTTTTATGTCGTGCGGTGAGTGTGGTGGGATAGCGTGGGATGGCATTGTATTCTCTTTCATGGTTATCTGCAAACAGCAGGAAGAACAGGACACCTTTCATGCTCGCTCTCTCCTCCTATCCCATCCTATCCCATCCTATCCCATCCCATCCCATCCATCCACCCCCTCCCTTGCACACCCCCAGCCATGCAGAGTCGCTCGGCCTGCCTCATCTGATGGGGGGCAGTCACCCGCAATACCGCTGACCAGCAAGGGCCGGTAGCAGGGGGGGGCATTGGGGGCGTCTCTCCTTTCAAGGGCCGGTAGCAAAGCACATCATGGCTCTGACGGTCTTCATTGCTGTGCACCTCCCTTTCTCTCCCCCATCCGCCCATGATCCCATCCCACCCCGCTTCCTCCCCCAGCCATGCAGAGTCGCTCGACCTGCCCAATCTGGTGGGAGGGCAGTCACCCGCAATACCGCTCACCAGCAAGGGGGAGGAAGCAAGGGTAGGGGTGGGGGGGAGCGAAGCAAGGGCAGTCTTCATCCTCGCTCCCTCTCTGTACCAACCATCCGCCCCCTTTCCCTTGCACAACCCCAGCCATGCAGAGTCACTCGACCTGCCTCATCTGGTGGGGGGGCAGTCACCCGCAATACCACTCACCAGCAAGGGGAGGGAGCAGGGGGAGGCATTAGGACGATACTTGCTGGAGTTCCAGGGGGTGATGTTTGACGAGGTGTTTGCGTCGCCCATCCCCAGGGCGTGGGAGACTGCATACGCCACATGCCAGGTGCGTAAGGTTACCGCCTGCCTGCTGCTGACGTTACATGCCAGGGTTACCACCCCTGCTGACAACACCACGGGGAGGCGTTGGAGCGATACCTGTTGGAGTTCCAGGGGATGATGTTTGATGAGGTGTTTGCGTTGCCCATCCGGCGGGCATGGGAGACTGCTTATGCCACGTCCCAGGTGTGTGGCGTAGGGTTGCCAGGTGCATAGCGTAGGGTTACCAGATGTGTAGCACTGGTTACCAACTGGTAAAGACAGTAGGGGAGGCACTTGGGGGATGAGATACCTGTTGGAGTTCCATGGGGTGATGTTTGATGAGGTTTTCGCCTCCCATTCACCAGGGCGTGGAAAACTGCTTATGTCACGTGCCAGGTGCGTGGTGTAGGGTTAAGACCTGTCGCTGGTGTTACATGCAGAAGGAGCAACGAGTGCAGCAAGGGGGAAGGGAAAGTGTTCTTTTTAGTTTAGTTTAGTTTTTTTTTCCTTTTTTGAAGCCAACTCAGTAGCCAACTCAGTCGCCAGCTTAATAGCACCTCCAAACGCCATTGCTCTTCCCATACCCCCTCTGCATCCCCTGCACCCCTCTCTGGAGCTTGGCTTCCCACCCAGCCGAATGCAGGAAGCGGGGGAGTTGAAGGAGCAGAGCTGCGGGCAGTGGGAGGGAGGGGAAGAGGTGCTAATTCAAATCCAACTCATTAGCGCCTCAAAGGCTCCGTTCTTCAATCCATGCCCCCTCTGCACCCCATGTCCCCTCCGCATCTCCTGCACCCTCTGCACCCCTCCCAGGAGCTCAGCTTCCCACCCAGCCGAATGCAGGAGGTAGAGGAGTTGAAGGAGCAGAGCTGCGGGCAGTTGAAGCTGAGGGAATTCTGTTGTTGAGTCAATAACACCTCCAAACGCCATCCCTCTTTCCATGCCCCCTTTGCACTCCCTGCACCCCTTACAGGAGCTTGGCTTCTCACCCAGCCAAATGCAGGAGGGAGAGGTGTTGAAAGGAGCAGAGCTGCGGGCAGTGGGAGGGGAAGAACTGGCATGTTGAGGCCAAGTCAATAACACCTCCAAACGCCGTTCCTCTTCCCATAACCCCTCTGCATTCCCTGTACCCCTCCCCTCCCAGGAGCTTGGCTTCCCACCCAGCCGAATGCAGGAGGCAGAGGAATTGAAGGAGCAGAGTTGCGGGCAGTGGGAGGGGAAGAATCGGGCAGATGTGTTTCCCACTGACGCCTCTCTTCCACGAATCACAAGCGCCCAGCCAGATTTTTTCTGCCCAGGAGGGGAGTCACAGCGGCAGGTGAGTTTCTGGTTTTCACAGCATGGGTTGTGTTGCGGTGCCTGAAGCTTTGTTTGTGTTGTCCGGACCTTGAGGTGAAGTTCAGCGGCTCACTCACTCAGTGACTTCACCTTGTCATTTCAATGATTTTTTTTATCCATGATGTATTTGTAATTGCATCTTTATCCATTACCCTTGGCAATGGCATCCCGCCACCCCCCACCCTCCTCCCTCCCGCCCAACCCCTTTTCCTCCCAGGTTGAATTCCGAATGGTTGAGTTTTTCAACCAAATCGCAGTTTCCCACTCTGCTGCACTTATAGCTAATTGTCGCTCCATGCCGCCCAACGCTCCTCCCATCCCACCGTATCGAATCGGCATCTTCTCCCACTCCACGGCAATCAAATGCCTCTTGAGGGGCCTGATAGGGTCCAGTCCCCATTTCACTCACAGATTCGACATTGCAGTTTCCTCCCTCACTCTCCTGACGTACTCCCCGGGCGCCAATAGCCGAATGCCTCGTGGCGCAAGCAGCAGCGGCAGCGGTGGTCGTCGTGGTGATGGGGGTAGTGGTGGGTGGAGGGTAGGGAGGGTGAATGACACAACTCACTTGCTGCTAGCAAGAGGACCTCTTCCTCAGGCACACATATCTGCTCTCAGAGCGCGCTTTCCTGGAGATGAGGGGGCACAAACCACTGTAGCTGTTGCAGACGAAGAGTGATGGTGATGCGATGCACGTACATAGTTAGGTATGAAGACCCGAAACATTGGGCTGTTCCACATCAGGTTTGCTTGACATTACGATATTTGCTGGTGTAGGCACTGTATTCCTCTTTGTTTGCCTTATCAATATTGTATCAATATTGTTGGGGTTGATAGGAAACCATTCTTCAACCAGGGGGGTTCATCTCTTTACCGATTTATATGTTTGCAAGGCTTTAAACGAACACCAGGGTGCTTCGAATGGGATGCAAACGGGCAGTGCCTCCAGTATGGCAGGCGGAGCATTGAGCATTGAGCTGAGCAGTGAGCACGAGATGGAGTGGTGGTGTGAGTGAGTGAACCTTCAATGGTCGAGGTTGTGTTGAATTGGGATGAGATCATGCTGCGCTTCACAACTGGCCAGTGGCCACTCTCTGTGCCCTGCCCACCTGGGGGGGGAGGGGGGGGGCGACGCGCGCCCCCCCCCAGGTCGCCGCGACAGGCGACGAAACCCGCCGCGCGCCACGGGGCGCACGACGGGCAGGGCACCGTCGCGCGCCAACGGGGCGCACGACGGGCAGGCAGGCAGAAAACCGCCGCGCGCATCGAGCGCGCGGCGGGAAGAAGAATTGCCGCGCGCCACGGGCGCGCGGCAAGCAGGAAGTCAGCGCGCGCCCGAGGCGCGCGATAGGCAGTGATGACAGCGGAAGTCTTGGTGGGCCCATGCACAGGATCGACCCGTGAGGGTCGACCTGCTCTGATTCCATGTTAGAAACCAAAGGAAAGTAGGAATGAGAAAGAGGGGTATTGAGAAAGCTTGCTTTCTGTTTCTTGCAAGGCAACGTGCTTCATTTCAATTGGGGAATTACATCATTCTCGTCCAACTAAAACATTACATAGAGATCAACTAGGGGCGGGTGGGGGGGGAAGCGGAACTGTAAAGTTCCGAAATGAAGACGTGGGTGGAGGCCAAATGGCCTCCAACCCTCGTTATGTACCCGGGAATATGCATTTGCAGTTGCCTTGCTTCACTACAGTCAGCTGCGCTTTCAAAATATACATTTTTAGAAAGTGTTTCACACTTTCAAAAAAAATCATATTGAGAAAGCTTGCTTTCTGTTTCTTGCAAGGCAACGTGCTTCATTTCAATTGGGTCTTCTGAGACATGTGCGTCCGTAGACGAAGTGTGAATGGCGGAGGCTGGTTGATAGCGATGTCCAGTGAGGTTGATTGTCAATGACGGTCGTTGCACTCCATGTCGACGAGGTCATGCGAGTTGCTCCTTCCTTGAGGTAAATGACTGTGCCGAGGGTTGTCGGTGGATTGGAGGGCTGTGGTTTGAAGTGATTGTTGTGCTGGCGCGTGAGGTGGAGAAGGTGGTGACGGCCCATGTGTAAGTCATTAAGTTTCCACCGTTGCGTAAAGACTGATGCCGCTATGTCCGTGTTCTGTGGAGAATAATGAGGTGTAGGGTCAGTAGCTGTCGCAGTCGTGAAAATGGAGGTGACGGACCAAAATTTGAGGATTGGTGCCATTTGGCTACGTCAATAACTGATGCGGTAGTGGTGGGCTTGACATACAAAGTTAAACAACATCGAAGTAGATATTTGCAATACGACACATTGCAATCTGTCCAGGGTGCATAATGACCTTGTATGAATAAAGGCGCATAAGTCACAGATGAATACTTGAATAAGGGGAGGTAGAACGGACGTTGTCGTAACGAGTGACCTTTCATAGTTGCGATTGCACTCCCAAGACATAGGAGCGAAAGAGCCCAGAATCAGGTCTATTCGTAGTGGAGTGGCCGATGTTGAATGATTATGCCTACCAGAGCAGTGCGGCATGTCTCGTTTGCAAGATTTGTAGATCCAAAGAAGTATGGGTTCGTAAAAATATTACTGCATAACAATACGCATTGTAAGAGGGCTTGATGAAGTGCCTCCAATCGTGGGTTACTGGCGCATCAATTGCTCATCTCTTGGCACATCGGCTGCTCATCTCTTGGCCCGTCGGTTGCTCATCGCTCGGCCCGTCGGTTATTCGTCTCTTGGCCCGTCGGGTACTCGTCCCTTGGCCTGTCGGTTGCTCATCACTTGGCTCGTTCGTTGCTCCTCACTTGGCCCATCAGTTGCTCATCGCTTGGCCCATCGGTTGCTTCTCTCATAGCCCTTCGGTTGCTGATCGCTGGGCCCGTCGGTTGCTCATCTATTTGCTCGTCGCTTGCTCTTCTCTTGGCCCGTCGGTTGCTCAGCTCTTGGCTCGTCGGTTGCTCGTCACTTGGCCCATCGGTTGCTCATTTCATGGCCCTTCAGTTGCCCATCGCTTGGCTCTTCGGTTGCTCATCATTTGGCCCGTCGGCTGCTCATCTCTTGGCTCGTCGGTTGCTCATTGCTTGGCCCGTTGGTTGCTCCTCGCTTGGCCCGTCAGTTGCTCATCGCTTGGCCCGTTGGTTGCACCTCGCTTGGCCCATCGGTTGCTCATCGCTTGGCCCGTCGGTTGCTCATCGCTTGGCCCGTCGATTGCTCATCTCTTGGCCCATCGATTGCTCATCGCTTGGCCCGTCGGTTGCTCATCTCTTGGCCCATCGGTTGATTATCGCTTGGCCCGTCGGTTGCTCGTCTCTTGGCCCGTCGGTTGCTCGTCTCTTGGCCCCTCGGTTGCTCATCTCTTGGCCCATCAGCTGCTGATCTCTTGGCCCGTCAGTTGCTCATCTCCAACTGATACCGTAACATGACGGTCAGTCAAGAAAAAATAGCAAAATTTGCATTGGCTGCCCTGCCACACCATGTTACGGCAGTCCCATAGCTCCATTCAATAACGAATGTTGTTGAAGCGCGAACCATCACCGGTAATGGAATGCAAGGTACATTGAATTTTGGTAAATGTTTTACTTTTCCATTTGGTATCTTGTCCGGTGTGACACAACAAGATAGGAGTGAATGGTTGAAGCACACTCCCTCCCCTCCTCCCTCCTTTGGGAATGTCCAGTGTGGTGGAGTGATCGGTAACACCAAATCCAATGCCGTACCCATCCTTGCTACCAACAGGTAGTTTCACTCAACCAATCTTACCACAGTCAGTCGAATCAATGTACGACTTTAAGCGGCTTTTAAGTCAGACTTTTTTCGCTATATTCAGGTCGTAAACAAAATAGCCAATGATACCTACATATCAACAAACACGTTACATAGTTCGGGTTTTCCACATCTCAGCTACAGTCCCCACATTCCCCTTCTCTAAGAAGGTGGCTCTTTGGCCAGCGTACCTTCGTAAGTACATACACACGGGTCTTAGTCCCCTTTGCCCCCTGGGAAACGGCTCTCAGGCCATCTTGGGGGGGACCCTCGGTCCCCTTCCCCCCCTGGGGGCGACTCTCAGGCCAAATTGGGGACCATCTGTCCCCTTCTCCCCCTGGGTGCGGCTCTCAGGCCAACGTGGGGACCCTCGGTCCCCTTCCCCCCCTGAGGGCGGCTCTCAGGCCAACGTGGGGACCCTCGGTCCCCTTCCCCCCCTGGGGGCGGCTCTCAGGCCAACGTGGGGACCCTCGGTCCCCTTCCCCCCCTGGGGGCGGCTCTCAGGCCAACGTGGGGACCCTCGGTCCCCTTACCCCCCTGGGGGCGGCTCTCAGGCCAACGTGGGGACCCTCGGTCCCCTTTCCCCCCTGGGGGCGGCTCTCGGTCCCCTCGTTTCGATGTGCGTGCAGTTGATCCCGTCGTCGTTGCAATTTTTCCGCGCGAGTAGTAGAGTCCGACTTTAAGCGGCTTTCCATCTTGTGCCCGTTTTTCTGTCATGAGGGAGTATCGATATTGATAGGCAATAAGAGAAGAAATTAGAACTGGAAAGGAGAAAAAGAAAATGAAAAGAACTTGAAACAATTTCTATATGCAGCTAAACAATTGGTGAGGTGGCATGGGGTGCTGCACTGGTGTACTGCCCAGTCAAAAGCCTTAGGCGCGACAGTAGCAGTTTCTTGACTGCCGCGCCACTGGCCATTTCGTCCGTGGCGATTTCGCCACAGACGCGCGCCACTGGCGCAAGTGGCGACTTCGCCACACACGCGCGCAAGTGGCGATTTCGCCACACACTCGCGCCAGTGGCGCACATGGCGATTTTGCCAGACACGCGCGCCACTGGCGTACGTGGCGATTTCGCCAGACACGCGCACCACTGGCGCAAGTGTCGAGCTCACGCCACTGGCGCACGTGGCCATTTCGTCACTGATGCGCCAGTGGCCGTTGCTTCATGCGCGCAGCTCTTTCTCGGTTGCGCGCACGCCAAGTGCATCGCGGGCGCGATGCTGTACCCTCCGCAGTTAAC